TGGGGTGGAGTTCAAACATGAATAAGAAATGGTCCCATAATCAAGAACTTAGTAGCTACAGTATTGAAATGTTCAGGCTTCTGGGACACTCCTTTCTTCCAGACTTTCTCTTAGGTCCTCATTACTGCTCAGTCCCTCTAGTTGCCCACAGACTTATTCACAGCTCTCATCTCACTCTGCACACACTTCCTGGGTTACCTTCGGCACAATCATAATGCTTTTGCACACTTTTTGCTCAGTATCCTCAGGTCCGTTTCTTTAAATTGGGACATGATATTTCTTTTAAAATGTAAAGCCATTTTTTTTTAAATAGAAGAGTAAAACATTATCATTATGGACAGATCAGAATATACAAATGAGCAGAAAGAACACTGACGTGGAGTCAATCACTGTCAACATCTGTGTTTTCTAAACCCTTGTTCTTTCTCTAATGGTATTTCTCCAGATTTTTAGTGCACATAAACACACTGTTTTATAGAAACGTGATCACAGCCATTTATTTGACCATTATCGTTCTCCATGGAAGATACCTTGGGCATCTCATCTAAACTATCTGCATTTATTTATTTACTTATTTTTAAGATATTTATTGGGGAATTGGGGGATGGGAACAGCGCTGGGGAATTGGGAGAAGGGGAACAGACAAGTTGCTGTCCTTTTGTTCTTCAGTCTAGTTGTGGAAGACGTTGCTTCACTGGCCCAAGTTGGCACCATCATTGCGCTCTTCCCGGGAGAGGCAGATCAGTCGCCGGCTTCTGGACGGCCGCTCACTGCGGCTGCTGGCCGCTCACGCTGGCTGCTGGCTACACAGGGTAGCCTATGGCAACCCACTGCAGCAGGGGCTACAGCCTACGCCGTCGCTGGAGACTCATGGCAGCCCAGCTCCAGGTTGAGCTGTTGTTCAGCATCTTAGCTGTGGAGGGCAGTGTCACTGGCCCTCATATGTGGGAGCCGAACCAGGGCTCTCTGGCATCCCAAGCCAGATTTTAACCAACGCGCCACTCAGCCGGCCCCTAAACTATCTGCATTTAGTATCTTGCTCCATTCACCTTTGGCTCAGCATTACCCACCTCTGATTATCTGTGACATCACCATCCAATCAGTGCTTTAAGTCTGAGCAATCTGAGTCTACTCCTAGCATCAGATTGATGCCCTCTGCTTCAATGTGGCTATCAACTTTTGCCAGTTCTATGTCACAAACTCTGCTGGAGTTTATTCAGCATCCTGTTGTCGTTGCCTTATTTTAGTCCTTCATTGAATCTTAACCTTGATTCCAGCCCCTTCTCAGAATGATCAATCTTTCACACTCTGCTAGAGTCATTTTTCTACAGTGCAAATATCCATGGGCAGAGCTGGCCCTGGCCAACACCTGCCCTGCCTCCCCCTGGTTTTTCTTTGGCTTGAGGATTCTCCCATGCTGTGAAAAAAAAATTTTTAAGTGCAAATATGATCGAGATATTCCTGTGCTTAAAACCCTTCATTGGCTTCCCATTGCTTCTAGGGTAAAAATCCAGACTCTTCAGCAAAGCCGTTAGTGATGTGACTCCTGCATTGTGCTCATTTCTTAGTTCTTGTCACATCACTCCTCTTTCCATGGACCTTAGATCCACACTTAGCACACAGTGTCGCCACAGTTTTGTGCCCTCTGCCCTTTCACTGGGGTGCTCTTTATCTACTTCCATCCTAGGCTAATGTCCACATGTCCCTCTGCAGTCACTGTCCCTCAGCTACATGGAACTCTTCGTGGTCCATTACATATCTGACCATGTTCTTGGGCACCTGGCTTGGAGTCCATTCTGCTAGAGGTTGGAAAAAGACAGTTGGTGATGAGTCCAGTAAGGGAAACAAGCCGGGTTATCCTAGCCACTGCTCTCACAGGCAAGAGGCTCTGGAACACAGCAAGCACACTGGTCCTGAATCACCATGACAAAGAAGGTGAACGACAAACCCCCTTTGCCAGATGCCTTCAGACCACACATTGGGTTTTATGACTTCTTAAAGAAAAGTCATTATCTTCTTCCAAAAAGGACTTAAATTGTCACACAGAGATGAGATACTATAATAGAACGACATACATGAAATTAAAAAAAAAGGCAAAAAACATGTTCCAAAGGGAAAATAAAGGTCATTGTAACCTGAAGCCAAGAGATCCCACTATATAGAGTGAATACCCCTACCTCGTTATACGTTTGCTAGAGCGGAGCCACATATTCAGCTCTAAGAATGAAGTTGTCCCACATAAAAGGGGGACATGTGATCATTACCACAGACCTGGGATTAAGGAGCAGCATAGTCATTCCTGGGACTGAGACCCAAGAGGCATTTCTATTGGACCTGCCTTCACAGAACCTTTGGGTTCTTTTTTGCTAGGAACTCTCTGACATAGTAATATTAACCCAATTTCATAAAAGCCAGTTATATGGAGCTGGAACCAGTAGGAGGATAGAGTGGAGGGATTTGTTCTGGAAGACTTTGGGTGCTTCCTATTGATTGGATGGTTTTCTCAGGCTCTGAAACCTCCTATGCCTAGATTTTAGTTATTCCTGGACCTATATATTCTGTCCTGCTTTCAAATTCTTCACATTGCATCTTCTTACCCCCAGTCTAAGTCCTCTTTTCTAGGATCTGGTTTCTGTTATCTTTCAGGGGACATAAAAACCAGAGCCAAACTTGGAGTGGATTTCATTTATTCAACATTCTGCTCTGTGCCAGTGACTGACATACATACCAAAGATGGCATAAAGGGGTGTGTGTGGGAAGAAAATGTACTGAGCAGACTTCTTGCCTGAGTAGCCCTGTGTACACATCATTTTATGTTTCATAACTTCATTCCAATCTTTTCACTGTACAAAGGTAGAAACCAAACCCCCAAAGACAGTTCTTATCTATTTGTGGAATGTTTCCTCTTGGATTTCTGTTTATCCTTTATGCTCCTAAAGGACATTACAGGTCTCTGGGATTCGAGACCCAACATGTGAATGTGCTGGCCCTTGAGGCAGGTAAACTGGTTCTCACTGGTGGATGACCTGGATATTGGAGGAACTGTTGGAGCCTCCTGCTGACGGACCGCCCCTGCTTGCTCTGTCTCTGCCTGTGTGGAGGGTTTCTTCTTGCTCCTGGTGCCTTTGTTCTTGCCCACAAAGTAGGCAGGTCTCTCAACAAGGTGAATGGAGGTGGTGATGGTGACTATGATTCTTATAAAAGATGGCCTCATGGAGGGTTTGCTTCTGTCTGGGATGACCTGGTCTTTTCATTGTTTGTGAGGGTATTGAGTGGTCTGAATGGAGATATTTCAATCCTGGCATGACTGGTGTGGCTGTTGGATATTGATGAGGGTGTTGTGGTGAATGGAGTAGCTGGGTTGTAAGAATTGCCCTCCATGTCAGCACCCCTTGCTTAGGCTGCTCTCTATTGGCTCAAGCACATAGCAATGAAACTTCCTGAAGACTTTTCCAGGAATTGGTCTCTTGGATAGAGATGTTCTCCTTGTCTTCACCTTGTTCTTGACCTTGATGGTGCCCTTTGTCCTGACACAATCTAAGGTAGTATCCTCCATAGTTGAGCCTTGCCTCCCCTTGTGTTGTGTGCTTTGGAAGGCTGTACTATAGTCTGAAGAACAGAGACCTGCAAGTGCTGCTAAGAGGATCTCTCTAATGAGGTATTAGAGAGTTGTGGGTCCTGGCCCTGGATCTCTTTGGCACATTTTTGGGTTATTAAGGGGGTTCCTCTGGTTGCCTCTTATTTAATAGTTTACAGTCTTTATTGTTGGTCCAGAAATCTATGGCGGGTACACTAATGCTGGGAAATCAGATGGTAATTACCATGGTCTCTTTAACATAAGTCAATTATCACAGTCTCTTCTATACCCTGTTGAGACTTCCCTCTTCTTTTTTTTTTCATTTATAAAAGCCAAGTTTAATAGTAAAAAGTTCCAGTTATACTACTTAACTGAAGGAAATGTCCTTTAGCTTTTTATTTCTAATTATAACATTCGCATTTTGACAACTGATCTTTTTCATCCAATTACTACTATGCCAAACAAAATTTTTCCAAGCATTAAGCCTTTCTTTACCATTTATGAAATATGAGTTAACTCTTAAGAGTTCCTTAAAAGAAATTTGAAATTTTAATTTTCACCATGAACTTTTTTGATCAAAAAGTTTAGGACATCACTACACGAGTTAAAACAAAGAATAGAATAAAAAGTAAAAATGATATCTATATAATCAGCAAACTATCTGATAAGACATGTTAACTACTTCATATTTACACTTAGCACAAGTTAGAATAAAATGGTTCCAAAGTACTACAAGGTTTGGCATTTTTATTGCAAGCTTTGAATCAGTGTTACTCTACTCAATAACACATATGTAAGGAAATGGCAGTGTTCATAAATACAAAAATTGTTATGTCTAGTAGGTGGTATTCTACATTGTCAAGATAATAAGAGAATTCTTTATAAAATTAGATTTTAAAAATGTAGAATGTCTGATAAAATTACTTGTATCTCAAAGGCTAAAATGAGAAAAATGCAGAACATAGAAGTACTTATTATTTTGCTTTGAGAAAGCCAGAAATAATTCTAGTTTAAGAAATAAGCAATAATAAGAGATGTAATTAATATGTTTTATCTCTTTTAAGCCAAAGCAACTTTTCACCTCAGGACGATTCTGATTTTTACATTCTTAATTTCCTTTGTCCAGAACAGGACCCCATTTTAAGCCATATTTTAAATAGAGTTCATAATCCAAAGTCATTTTTTTCCTCCACAGAATGTTTACATTTCAATATTTAAGCTGCAAAATGGTAAATGACTAAATCAGTTATAAAGAATTTGTAGTATAATAAATGCCAATTTACAGTAACTGTCAACAAGTTTCTATAACAAAGCCTAAAAGTTGCTACAATAGAGGTCAGAATTAACATGATTCTTCCATATGCTCAGACTTCATTTACTAAATACTGTCATAAAATTCAAAGAAACCGTAGTGGCTTCTTCCAAAGCTGCATAATTTTCCAAATGATTTTCCTCTGGTTGCAGAGCCTGTTCATTCCTTCAGTCCTTTTTTAGTCGTTTAGCTTTTGCAATATTTTCTTGACGTTTTTGTTTCTTCTTTTGCTCATTTTCCTTGGCCTCAATCATCTTGGTCAATTTCCAGGACAGTACAGCACTTGCTAGAAACAATGGAGTAAGGGCCAAAATAACTGTTGTAAGGAAACCATATGGGTCCTCTGCGGCCCACTCCACAACATACTCAGCCCAAGCCTTTATATCAAACATCTTCGTAGCAATCTTATGCTTGAGTTGTGATCTCTAACTTTGTCCTGGGATTATTAGTGAGCCAATTACAATTTCAGATGACCCTTGGTTAGTTGTCGTCTTCTTTAGCTCTACTATATACTTCTGAGAGAAAGTTTAAATTCTATATATGCCAGGCCGGAAGCAGGAAGGCGGAAGCCCCCACTTTCCCACCGAGACTTCCCTCTTCTTCATTTACAAATGCACGTATCACATGTGCAGGTCCCATTCTCAAGAGACAGATTCAAGGCAAGTCACAAGACTCCTGGGAAGGAAAGGAAAGCTTTCTGAAGCCTAAGACTTCCCCTTTTGATCCTGGCTCTGAATTCTCATCACCTCTGAGAGTGTTGGCTGGGGGTACCTGTTTTCTCCCTCAGGATCCCTGAGAATTGAATGAAAAAACAAAACATTTTTGAGTGCTTTTGAGTGCTTTTTCTATAAAAGGCTTTGAGATTTAGGATTTCCCATGCTGACCTCATCTCTGGGGATTTCACCTCTGTGGTGGCACACCAAGCGTTGCTGAATGACAGACCTTACCCACCTGGCTCCACTTTTCCATTTCTCTGATGGAAGGATTTAGGTTTGTCACTGGAGTTGGAGTCCACCTGGAATTTGGAGCCTGCTTGTTTCTCTCATGTCTCTACTCCCGGGCTCTGGGTGGCAGTGGCTTACTTGGTTTCCATTATCACTGCCTAGCCATTCTCAGCTCTCTTTTGTCCCCTGCCTCCTTGGTCTCCTCAGCTCCCACCCACTGTGTTCTCATCTTGTCTCCTATTTCCTCCCTGCATTGTGGACTAGGAGGCTTCTAGGTGCTGTAGGGCTACAATGAACAGCCTCTTTGTGAGAGGACAGAGATCTCCATAATCCCATTATATCTGGCACTTTGCATAAGGACATTAACCCTTTTTCTGTTTCCTCTCTAAATGAAAAAATAAAATGAAACCAGCATTAGCTAGCTAATGAGCTTTATCAGAAGCTGCTGGCATCTGTCAGATTGTCCTCAGTTCCCTGCCAGAGGCAGATAACTGTTGGGCTGTGATCCTTTAGTGATAAGTGGTTTCCTTTCTTATAGAGCAATTTCTCTTTCTGTGCCTCAGTTTCTTCTTCTTTAAACCCAAGGAAATGATATTGATGGGCATATAATTAGCCACCCTTTCTCCCCTGGTTGCCACTTAAGTAAGCCACGCTCTTGCTTCTGTGTATTCACAGGCATGGGTTGCAGACGCAGGTCAGGTTAGGAAGACAAGCTCGGAGGTTAGAGTGGAGTCGTTTGTGAGTTCTGTGCTTCCTCAATTTGATCCCCTCCTGAAGGTCCATGACAGCAGAGATACTGTGGCTCTCTTTTGCTCTCTTAATATGTTCTTCTAAGTTTGCAATCGTGGGTTTTCTTCACTGTTTTCTTTGGGGGGAAAACTCAACCTCTGATTGCCTCTGTTTTTCAATGCCTTCCCCACCCTATTGGGTCAACTTCTCTAATCCCTCATGATCCAGACTCTTATTTGAATGTCTCATTATGTTTAGGACCAAGTGCTTCCTGGGATGGTCCCTTAAGGCCTGGTGCTCTTGTGTCTTTGGTGGTGTTCTCAGTGCTCAGATACTTGGTTGACATTGAGATGAACTCAACAAGTCATCAGAAGGGGGGACTCCCCTGTCACTGAACCAGGCAGCAGCAGCAGCAGCAGTTCTCAGGAGGACGGACCTCTTTTGTCCAGCGACCCCTGGCTGGCCCTTTCTCAAGAGTGTTATTATTCTCTGGAACTCCAGAGTAAATTCACAAGTATAATGTCCTCACTTCCTACTTCCTAAGATATTGCATTCCCTCCCCCCCCCGCCAAAAGAGCTCTCTCCGGTTGGTCCAGTTTTCATCTTTCACTGTATAACTTTTTTAGGGATAAGTAACTTCTTTTAGGAAGGGAAATCTGTCATTTTTCCACCTAACTTTCATTGTCCTAACTTTTTTTTTGTCAGAAAAGGTACAAATGATTGACTAGGGCAGAGATTATCCCCATTTAGTACCCTTCTCAGGGAACTGATGTATAAATGAACATTGATTTCATATCCTCCCAATATTAAATTAAATTTTTTTCTATTCTAACTTTATAATAAAAAAACCAAAAAGGCAAAAATAACTAATGGAAAGATTTCAATTTCATTTTCCATAGTCGTCTAAGATATTTGATCATATGTAGATATGATCCTTATGTAGTTATATTTAGAGTTTTGATATAATTTTGTTGTTTTAAAATATTGCATCAAGCATTCTGTGTATTGTCTTTTAATGAATGCTTTCCATGACCTTATAATTTTATTGATTTCATAAACAACACATTTTGTTTTTTTCCGTTGTTTGTTTATGCTTCTTTTTTTGCTATTACAAATATTAAAAAGTAAACATCTTTGTATATAGTGCTTCTTTCATTTGATTACATTCCCTAGAGTTGTGTTACTGGATGAGAGGGTATGAATGTTTTCATGGATTTGGAACATTTTCCCAAGTTATATTCCAAGTGGTGAATCTGTCACTTATTTCCATTGCCAGGGGTGCTAAGTGTGTCTCTGGACATTTAGGGGAATTGAGTGGAATAGGTAGGGTGTCCCATAACAAAATGGTCAAACAAATGGTTCCTTTCCCAAACAGGCAAATTCAGGTTCACAAACCATAGAATTATGGTGACTGGGTAATTAATTTCCCTTTTATCCCCCATATATACCCTCTTCTACTGTTTTCTAGTTTGTCTCAGACAACACATACCTTTCACCTACACATCCAGGAAATCCTTAGAAATGCCCTATTGTCTACCTCTATGGCTTAACAAGAAATAATGGTTTCAACAATTTTTACAGAAGCAATCATTCCTGCTCTTGTCTTATTTCCTTGCCATCTTCTCTCACAAATAACAAATCTAATAGTCACATAACTTATTTAATTAAAAGTTTGAGAATTCTTTAAAAAACATAAACACACACACCACTTAGCTCCTTGTGGTGTATGATAATTTGACTGAGGCAGAGAACAGAAATCTGGTTCAACTTAAGATTCTAAATTGAACTTTGATGATAGGTTGAGAGAGTGTGCGGTAGTAAGAGGGCAAAGACAAATAAAGAGGGCAGTTCACAGACCCAGCGCTGGAAACCAACCCAAAGCCCAGGGGAGTCCTGAATGGAGACAGAGGAGCAGCAGGCAGCAGCCTGGGGTGATGCAGCGAGCCCTTGGCATGTGAAAGTTGTCTGGCAGAGTCAGAATAAAGATGGGAGCGGAACCTCTCACACTAGGCTCTGAATTTTCTATCCTTTACCCACATGTCTGTTTACATAAAAGGGGAGAGCATAATGGGGACAACAGGAAAGGAGAAAGCAAATCTGTTCAAATGGTACACTTGTAATCCTGCTCCCCCAAAGCTTGAACCATGCAGGGTCAGTAGGTGGAGATCAGACATCACATTCATCCTTTAGGACAGTCTGAATCTCTTTTAAACCAAGACCAAAAATGTTCATCTGATTATTCTGGAAAAGAATGATGGATCTAGGGGATAAGCACCAAGATTAATGAGATACTAAAAACAGGGCCAGAGGATAGCAGAAGAAGTTCCTCATCACCCTCTGACAACACGAATTTTAAAATACCAATGCCGTTCCTCAGCAGCAGGCCCACAGTCAGGTACTGGACTTTTTCTAAATTGATTTGGGTGTTTAATGGTATCAAGTCAATCCATTTTTCTTCAAAGGTGGATGCTAGGAAGATTTTCTCAATGATCTATGTACCTCTACAGATGTAGGCTGGCCCTGGGACTACTCCTGGTTGAAGTCTTAGGTTTGAGGTAGTTAACCTTTAATAGGGACAGCTACCATTCCAGGACAGGCTCTGTTCATCTAAGTGACATGCTACAATTTTCCCACCACCATCATGTAGATATTTCAATACACATGTAGATATGTATACCTATATTTATATATAAATATAATATCTATACAAGCCTGATAGAAGACATTATTAGTAGAAAGCAATTGTTTTTTATAATAGGACTAAGAGGAGCAAGATGTTTTGAGTGGAGAGATGAACAAAGAGCAACTAATCTTGAAGCCACCTTCTCTTGGTTTTAACATCAACTTTTGTTTCTACTACCTTGGAGGAGAGGATTTGCCTGTTATCAGCAGGCCACAGACCACCTGTGCTTATAACATAAGGTCTTAACTATTTATCTATTAATAGAAGATAATATTGAATGAGTCCTGAGTGCCATCTTTGTGCTAAGTCCCTATGACCTGAAAAGCCCCAGTCTTCACAGTAATCCAGTGGGTCTCAACCTTCCTAATGCCGCAACCCCTTAATACAGTTCCTCATGTTGTGGTGACCCTCAACCATAAAATTATTTTTGTTGCTACTCTATAACTGTAATTTTGCTACTGTTATGAATCGTAATGTAAATATCTGATATGCAGGATGTATTTTCATTGTTACAAATTGAACATAAAGCATAGTGATTAATCACAAAAACAATATGTAATTATATATTATGAAATATTTATTTCTAATTACAAATAAATGAAATTTGTCTTGAAGCATGGTGTAGCATGGGTAACAGTCTTAATATAACAACAGTAAACTACACTGCTACATTTTGCGACAGTATGCGTAAAAAGCCAATGTCAGTGCGAAGGTTGAGATTGCTTCTTTCTCACAAGATCAGAAATTCTCGGGGCAGTCTTTGCAAGAGCACAACGAAGATCACCTTCACAAGTCTACTTCTGTATTTAGACTTGATAACCAACAAGCTGGAAAACCCTGTTTCACAAAGATATGTTGTTGGAAATGGAAGAAGAAGATGCAATACTGTCTCAGACACAACAGGATATGACTGCAAACACTTGATCCAGAATTTTGTAACTGGCATTGTAGAGAAATCAGTTCTCGCTGCATCGTTGTTAATAAGTTCAATGAACTCCTCTTGTGCTGTCTCAGAAACATCTTCAACTTTGACTGTGAATGGGCTTCTGGCAAGTGCAAATGGGGTGTC